ACGATGCCCCAAAGGATCCATTCATTTTTTCTGAAAAGGAGGTGTCTATTTACTTGTGACCTCTCAGTGTACACTATCAGGCCTGTATGCAGAATGTTTGAAAGGGGGGGGGGGTTCTAATTTGAGATCAAAAGCTAACACATATTGTGCAAAGCATGCTAATGCTATGGGGGTCTGGGGGCATGCTTCCCCAGAAAATGTGTAAAAAAATAGATGCTATGAGATTAAATCTGGAAGCAATTTTGCATGAAATATAGCTTAAACAATTGCATGGCTGTTCACATAAAATCTACAAACATCCAATGAAAAGTCAACAAATCATTATTCTGTTGTAACACTGCATGGAAAGCTTGATTTAAATTAACATAAATATGTATGTTTTATTATAGTAAAGTACTGTAATATTTATATGCAGAGTAGTTATTAAGAATTTGGCCTACAAAACCTGACAGTTGCAATACAGCTTTGGGCTTCCAATTACAAAGTGTCAACAGAAGCCATTTTACATGACTATTTCAAGCCAAAAAATGATAATGCTTCATCAGAAGAATGTAGAAAATATTAAATGACATAAGCAGATGTGCTATAACTATATAAGCATAATTATTTTATGTCACAAAAATAGGGAGTTCAGCTGAACTCCTTCGACCCCCCCCCCACCCCACACACACACACACATACATGCATGCATGACTATAACTGTAAAATACTTAGAACTGAAATATTGTGACAAACCTACTGTACTTGTAATAATTCTGATTACGAAGTTAGCACACAAAATCACATATAAAGGTTGTAATGGTTTGAAAATGAGACCCAAAACTCAAGTACTTTTGGATAGTACATTATTATTCTTCAGAATAATAAAGCTACTTATAATAATAATCTTTCAGTACAGAACTTGGTAAATTGTGAAAGGTAGAATAGATACTTTTTCTCTTTTTCCAAGATTTTGAGCTTTTAAATTTAAAGAAAACCATACAACTTAAGAAGTGAAAATTTTAATCTTGTTCTTACTTCAGTTAGTTCAACCTTAAGAATTTAATTTTAGGCCTAAAACTTCTTATGGACAGCCACATTTGAAACACAGTTCTGTCAAAACTAAAATACTGGGCTTTTGTAAACTGTGCATTAAATTAATGATTAATACTACCAATAATTTTATCACCAATATTATTATTTATACTAGGCTTAGTCTCAATAATAATAAAACTTGGAAAAAAAGTAAAATACTATACGCTTAAT